ATAAACACAAATAAACACAGATAAACACAGATAAACACATATAAACACAGATAAACACAAATAAACACATATAAACACATATAAACACAAATAAACACAAATAAACACAGATAAACACAGATAAACACATATAAACACAAATAAACACATATAAACACATATAAACACAGATAAACACAAATAAACACAACTAAAGCAGACGGATTAATAAAACGTGAATAATCTTTGTGCCTGAAACCGGTTCAGTAAAGACGAGTCTGTTCATCATGAAGCATGTGCAGCTACAAGATTAAAAGAAGAGTTTTATTGATTAAATATCTTTATTTCTTCATTTCGATGAGGAATCCGACTTCATGGAACAAAAAGATGAGTTCTTTCATAAATCATCGGCCGTCAGTGACGGGACGTCTTCAGGATCAGGTGCAGACATTAAAGAAGGAAAGTTCATTACGTCATTTCACAGCATTCACGTTTTACATTCGTTCAACTTCTATTGAGTTCAATGAGGCCGGCTGTAGAAACACATCAACTCATCATGTGATCGATGTTCTCATGTTTCCTTCTTATTGGTCTCAAACAGATCAACCTGTGATTGTAACCAGATTCATAAAGCATAAAACATTCATATAACTCATTATAGTTGGCCTCAGTGATTCATGCTACTCATCTAGCTCATGCTATTAGCTAGCACACAGGTCATGCCAGCGATGAAGGTGAAGATGAAGAGACTGTAACATGTGATACCAGCCCTCTGTTTGCTTCCATTAAACCTTCAGCTGGATTATTTCTTAGTCTTTATCTCCAAGTTAATGCCGGACGTCTCAACAGAGCTGCTGCTGGCTACCGTCAGCTAAACAAAGCTAAATGCTAATGCTAACGCAACAAGTTCATGGAGGAGCAAAGTAAGAAGTACCGACCGGTATAAAGGTCCGGATACAAGATGTAAGTGATATGTAAGGTATAAAGAGTCGTGTAAAATGAAAGGACCAAACAGCAGAGCCCTGTGGAAGCCCGTCACTCTCCACACATCTGAATTATTCTGGATTTTGTGTTTACATTTATTGATATTTTCATACATATTTATATTTGCACTCTTCCTGCTCTTTCCCTCAACACAATGGTCCGAGTTCCTTCTGTAATGTTGACTTTTAAATCAAGTATTTCTGTTGATTTTACCCATATTACATGATTATTGATGACATAAACGTAATAATAACTATCTTTTCTCCCGATGCCTTCACAGACCGTCAGCAAGTACAACTCTCAGTACCACAAACTGTTCCAGACGGTTCCTAGAGAGGAGATCCTGATGAAAGGTGAGGACGGTTAGTGAGGACAGGAGGACTCTGACAGGTTAGGACAGGTGATATAGGACAGGGGACAGGCAGGTGATATAGGACAGGTG